CCGAATGGCCGGCCTGGCCTTGCGTCGCCTGCGAGAGCTGCCGGCCGAGAAGGGAGCGAGCGCCCCGTCTGTGCCGGTCACGAGGGCATGTCCGCGAAATCCTGCCTGGGAAATCCTAGAAATGCTGCACGGGTATGGTGAGAGAACCGAGATTCTCCCCATCTCCCCCACTTGAAAAGAAAACAAGTTGTAAAAGTAATGGTTTTCGTGCCAGAGCCCCAGGATTACTGGATAGGACCGTACCTGGCTCTGAGGTTCACGTTCCTCTGATCCAGCAGCAAACGTGGTGTAACACCAGCCAGCGTTCATTCAACCGCCCTGCTTTTGTCTGTGTGCAGGGGATCCTGACGTATCCAAGCGGATGAAACCGTGGGCCTTGATGTCCCTACTGAGGCTGGCTGGCAAACATTTCCACAGGCTGCAGGAAGAGGAAAGCACGACTTCCGAAGGTGAGCCGCACGTTCCTCTGATCCAGCAGCAAACGTGGTGTAACAACAGCCAGCGTTCATTCACCCGCCCTGCTTTTGTCTGTGTGCAGGGGATCCTGACGTATCCAAGCGGATGAAACCGTGGGCCTTGATGTCCCTACTGAGGCTGGCTGGCAAACATTTCCACAGGCTGCAGGAAGAGGAAAGCACGACTTCCGAAGGTGAGCCGTGGCAGGTCAAGGTGCCAGGGACTGAGAATCGGCGCCTCGAGACCATCGCAACCATCAAGGTCAATGGCAGGTGCAAGGAGGAACTGGATGAGGGTGTAGATGCTGCATGTGCAGCAGAAAAACTGGAGACAGGGCATGAAGAGGCATGTCCAGGAGACCTGGATCTGCTGTCATCCCCAGGCGGGGTTCAGCTCGGTTGGCAAGCGTGCAGGGTGCATGCTCTGGCAGACAGCTCCAGAAGTGCCTGCAGGACTGTAGTGGCTGGACAGCTGGCCGAGAATCCCAGCATCCCAGTCCTTCTGAAGGAGAGAATATAGAGACTTGTGAGAGAGATAAAATTCCAAGTACTCCAGACTGACGTCTTCAGAGCATGGGGAAAAGGGCCTGTTGGAGGGGCCTGAGGGGCAGGAGCTGTGTACGGAGCTGGTGAAGGGTCATTCTGGCAGCCCAGGGCCCCCACCCAAAGCTCTGTCCTAGTAGGAGAGATCAGGGGCAAGTACTGCTGTGGGGAGTGTGGTAAAGCCTTCCTGCAGCAATGCCACCTCAAGAAGCACCGCTTTGTCCACGCTGGCCACAAGCCCTTCCTGTGCACGGGGTGTGGCAAGGGCTACGGTTCAGAGGAGAGCTTCCAGGCCCACGTGCTGGCCCACTGGGGTGTGCGGCCTTTCCAGTACAGCCAGTGAGACAAGGCTTACTGCACCTAGCGGGACCTGCGGGAGCACCAGGTCCTGCACACTGGGCAGTGCCCCTTCTGTGAGCAGCATGGCATGGCCTTTGCACGCCGACCCTCTCTCTGCATTCACAGGAAGATCCACCTGGCCGCTGGGACCGACCCAGCCGCTCCCAGGGGATGCCAGTGTGCGCTATGTGGATGCCAGCTGGCCAACCCCGGCTCCTTGTGCAACCACACGCACCTCCTACACATGGGGGAACGTCCTTATGCCTGTCCCTACTGTGTCAAAGAATTCCAACAACGGAGCAACCTGCGTGAGCACCTCTGGTGTCACATGGGCGAGAAGCCCTACGAGTGCCGCTTCTGCGGCGACGCCTTCCCCAAGCGTCTGGAGCTACGGCGGCACCTCAGCTCCTGTGTAGACCTAGGTCTTTTCAGTAGCTGCCCCTCAGAGCTGGCAGCCTACACATGCTGGGCCTGGTGCAGGGAAGGCACTGGCTATTGATGGGAATAACTTCTTGGAGAAGACACCCCAGGGTTAATGATCTGCTGTGCCTCTGTTACGCTGTCAGTGGGTGACACTGCCTGTGGGGAAGGCAGGAGGAGTCTCAAAGCAGCGTCTTACTTTCATGTTTTTCTTTGTCCTGATTAATTGTCGCTATTCAAGCGCTATCCTGGGCTTTTACTCTTTTCCTGCTGCTTTTACTCAGCAGCACTTCTGATTGTTGGGAGGTCTTGCTGATGCCAGACATTGCTGGGAAGCAGCTCCCCAAGTGTTTACAAGGTGCCTCTGTTGATGGGGGGTTTCGGATGAGCATTTTTCACAATTAACAGAAGCAAAGCCCTGCCTTGGAGCTAGGGCTGAGACTTCCTTCTCCACTGCCACTTGCTTTGCTTGCTGTCAGCTTGCTGGCCTTATGGGGGGCGGATGGTCAGAGGACGTGAAAGGATAGCTTGGTGTCTCACAGTGCGAATAGCATCGTACGGTGCCGTTTTCACTGGCCCCAGCTGAGAGACTCCTCACCTCTCCAGGCAAAGGTTCAACAGTTGACCTTGGTGTGCTCAGAAAATCTTGCCTTCCTCTTCCTGTTCAAGTACAGTAGTCTGTTTCCCTTTTTCTCACATTCTTGCTTCCTTTCTTCCATGTGTTTCCCGCTCTTGCACCGAAAAGGTGGCACCAACAGCACCACCACAGCTACCCTCCAGTATTCCCACTGCTCCATCTTTGCCAGCTGAGGCACACTGAAAGAAATTGTTCCCCTTTCAGGAAGGAAGTGCTCAGTTCCCAATGCCACGTGAACCTGGCCTCATAGGACGAGGCCGACAACGCCAGCCCTAACAGAGGGCTTTCATACGCGCCCACCCTGCGCTGCCTTTTCACGTGTTACGCGAGCAGCGCTTTCATTTGCTGCATCCTCACTTTTAGCTGCTCTCGCTCTCTGTCTTGTGCCTCTCTTAACATCTGCATTTCCCCAAGAAAGTTTTGTTTAGGGGCTTAAATTCTCTGTGCTTTTTATGCCCACTGTGGAAGAGGAGGGCGTACGGTCACCAGGGAATGGCCAGTAGCACAGTTGCCTTTCGGGGTGCTATGAACGCAGTAACGTGACGGCCCGAAAAGCCGCTCTTTGCGGTTTCTACATTCAACTTTTTCCCATAAACGTTTTTTTGACCAGTTTGCAGGCAAAGTGCTGGAAGCAGATCCACGGCACTTTTATGTGAAGTGAGGATGGAAGGTGATTTCAGCTAGAAAACCTTTAGGTGTCTCTATTTTTAGCTATTTTCTTTAAAAGTTGGGGCAGATGAGCTCAGTCCTTGCTCTGAGCGCCTGGAGGGACCTGTGGGAGCAGAGGCGTACAAGGAGGGTTTGTATTTGAAGCTGCAGTACTTCCTACCCCTCTCCCTTTGGTGCCTATCCTAACTCATGCTGTTTTCAAATATTGACACAGCTGCAAAGTGTTCTCGCTGGAGCTGGGCTCGTGTGCTGCGGTTGAAGCGTGTGCCCTCTGTCACAGCATGACTGGGAGAAAAAGGGGAGCAGCAGGGGGAAGGGGAGAATCCAGACCTCCACTGCTTAACCTGCTGACCTTCTTTATTCTGAGATAATAGGAGAGAAGAAGCAGGAGCAATTACAAATTAGGAGGTCCCCACGGAAGCTCACCTAACCGTTATCTGAGTAGGTAGGGGCGGGTCCGTGCCATGCTGCACGTACCACTTGGCTGCGGGATAAACTTCATCCACTGATCCTGACTGAAGAGCCTGTAGCTGGCCCCCACTGGGCACCTGGTGAAGATGCCACCAGTACGTCCCTGCCTGAGAGAGAAGCAACATGTTCTTACATGAACAACCTTTTGCTTCATAGTAAAATGATGAATGAAATTGTTTACTCCTAAGAAAATCCTATAAAAACGCCAAAGACCATGACACTGGTGAACCTCAGCATGGATGGGATCAGTGCAGCATTCCATGGCCTGACTAGATACCTGTCTGACACTATACAACTCGGGGTTCACAGCATCTGGAAGGGTTTAGGGTTATCTAATGCTATCCCTTTTCCTGTGTTATCTCAAAAAAAAAAAAAAAAGAATTTTAATCAATACATGAAGGATTCCTAGTGTCTGTCTTACTGGGATCCATAATAAATGCTTGCACCAGTGCAGTACAGATGGTGTACTCGGCAGGATCCTAGAGAAAAACACCTTACTGGAGGAAGGAGAGCGAGGGAACGGATGGGTGCTTGCCTGGTCCCATACACAGGCATGGGGAACAATCACACAGTGCTGGCCGGAGATGCCGCATGCCTGTGACCCTTACAGCGTGGGGCAGCGAGCACACCGATGCCTGGCTGTGGGGCTCCACCAATGTGGCAGAGCTTCACCAGGACTTTGGGGTGCTGCTGCAGCACTCCAGGATGACGTGTCTGTTGGATGGCTGGGGTATCAGAAGTTCTTCCTGGGGAGGGTGGTGAGGCACTGGGACAGGTTGCCCGGAGAAGCTGTGGATTCCCCATCCCTGGCTGTCTTCAAGGCCAGGCTGGATGAGGCTCTGAGCAACCTGGTCTAGTGGAAGATGTCCCTGCCCATGGCAGGGGGGTTGGAACTAGATGGGCTTTGAGGTCCCTTCCAACCCAAACCATTCTATGATTCTATGATTCTGTTTTGGTAGGGCCTCACCTCAGGCATGTGCATAAGCTTCAGTGCTGCCCTTAAACCTCACACCATGGCCAAGGTCCAACCCTCGGCCAACTTCTAAACTGGCTTAAACCTGACCAAGGTGTTTGAATGAAAAGGCAGCTGCAGGCTGTGAAGGAAGAGGGTGATTCCTTGGGTCCTTGAGTCCTCCCTGCTCAGCAGCTCGAATCCCTGTGTGAGAGAAGGGGAGATTCATCCTTTGTAATTGTACCCAGAGCATTACATGATCAACTGTAGAGCTCACTTCAGGAACACATTCAGAAAAACTGCACCCATCATAGAGCAGACAAAGGCCCAAGAAAACAGGCCAAGGCCAAACCCTCTATACCTTGCTCCCTGAAGCTGGAAAAACAGTTACATAGGAAATAAACATAGAATCCCAGAATGGTTTGGGTTGGAAGGGACCTTACAGACCATCTAGTTCCAACCCCCCTGCCATGGGCAGGGACACCTTCCACTAGACCAGGTTGCTCAAAGCCTCATCCAGCCCGGCCTTGAACACTGCCAGGGATGGGGCATCCACAGCTTCTCTGGGCAACAAAAAGCAAGAAAAAAGGCTTTCTTCGCTTAAAAAGAAGGGTCAACTCAGAGGAAGAGGTCAAAACCCCCAGCTGTGTTGAAAGCCATAACTCTGGGAGGAGAACAGTACGGATCTTAACACTTACCGTACGAAACAAAAGAGCATCCAGAAAATGAAATGATAAAAAGTTGCTGACAGGAATGGTGAACAGATGGAAGAGTTACCTGTTCGTGGGGTGGAAGTCAAAGCCCCAGGAGAGGTGATAGCTGATGCACGCTGTCCTGCTGCAGAGGCTGTGCCCAAGAATGGGAGAAACAGGAGTGCTAGAAGCACGTTACAGAAGAAGAAAAGGCTGTAACGTGAAGAGCTGGCATTTTTAATTACTAACGTTATTGTGTGATACCAGCAAGGTCTGGAAAATTGTCCCTGGATGCCTTGAAAATCTCCAGTTACAAAACAAAACCAATATAAAGAAATAATAGGGATTGAAGTGATGGAAGTAACCTTGAGTAATCTTAGATTAACAACTTAATGGCCCTGGTAGGTGGGTTTGTCCTGTTTCACAGAGGGAAGGAAACGGCACCTGGAAAAGGAGCAGCCATACTGACAGTATGGTTGGTTTCAATAAGGGGTTTTTTTTGCCGTATTCTGGTGTTGCTTAACGTTAGCCCTATATAATGCATGATACCATGAAGGACTGAAAGATGCTAACACCTTCCCTTTAAAGGAAAGGCAAGAAGATGGTGGTAATCTATGGATAAAGATAGCGGTGTTAAGATGCATCGTAAGGGCTGCCTGGTTATTATAAAGAAGAGACACAGAGAGATGCAGGAATGGGAAAAAAAAAGTTAATGAGAATATCGGAAGCTCTTATGAAGTGAAATGCTCTGGTGATCCACTAAGGAGTTGAGCTGGTGCAGGCCAGTGCTGCACATAGCACTTGGCTGCAGGATGAACGTCAGCTAAACCTGAGTGGGGAGCTGCAGGCTGCTTCTGCTCAGCACCTGGTGATGATGCCACCACCATGTCCTGGCCTTTATTTTACAGTGAAATGGCATAGTACTATGCGGGAAACCTTTTGATTGACAGGAGAAATGACAAATAGAGTTGTTTCCTTCAAAGGAATCCCTATAAAAACCCCGAAGACCACAACACTGCTAGTCTTCAGCACAGAGACCATCAGCATGGGCTGATGCTGGACTACTTGGTGTTCCCAGCATCCGAAGGGCTGTAAGATTATCTAACGCTATCCCCAACAAATAGTTTTTGAGTCGATACTTTATAGCGTCTGGGTGCCTTTCTTATTGGGATCCATAATCATAACGCACAGGTGCGTTACGCCCCCCCAAACACAGCCGCGTCCGTCTCTCTTATCCGTACCACTGGGGGGGTGGGCGGCAGCTTTCCTGCGCTGGTATTTCTTCCCTGTGTTCGCATCCCTATGGGCTTGCTCTGTCCTTGCTGCTCTGCTCTTCTCCCTCTGCTTGCCAGCTGGGTTGACATCAACGGGGGGCTGTTTGGGCGAGGAGCCACGGTGGCTGCTGCGTGGGACGTTCTCCGCCGCTCGCCCAAACCCTGCCGCTGCCCGCGCGCAGCTTCTCCCTGCGAGGGAACGCGGGGCGTTTTCCTGCGTGCCAGCACCCTTCCACCCAGGTCACCTCCACCTAGGGCATCCCAGCCATTCCGAAACGTGCCTCACCAAAATCCAGGGGTGTGTGTGGGTGAGAACAGGGGATAGATGAGGGAGGGAGCCTCTGCAACTGCTCTTTGTACCAGTGGCCCCAGAGTCATTCCTCA